AATAGTTAGATGACTTTGCCACATATATGAGAACAATATTAAATATCCATAGTCAAATTAAATTATTAACTCAATTTGAAGAAAGAAATTTGATTGAAATTAAAGAAAATTTTTTTGTTATATTTTTCTAATATCTTGGTTTCTTATCTTAACTTAGTTAAGGATTTTTAAAAAAATTTTAATTAAAATTTTTTTAAAATTTTAATTATTTTTTTTAAATTGAGCTAATCACTTAATTTAATTATAGATATTTATTATTATTCTTATGTATGTGACAAAGACATCAACTAATTATTTTTAATTTACTATTTTTTTTTTTAAATTGAGCTAATCACTTAATTTAATTATAGATATTTATTATTGTTTTACTGTATGTGAAAAAATCATCCATTATTCCTTTTAGCTTACTAATTTTTTCAATACTTAAAATTTTGAAACTATATTATTACGATTTTAATTTTTGAGAACTAAATTTGTAAATATTTTATTTTTACTTTAATGAAAAGTTAACAATTTTATTAGTTTAAAGGTAAAATTTTCAAAATTTTGAATTCAAAGAATAAAAACTTTATAACATAAAACGAGAATGTAAAATTTTAAATTTAATAAAATAAAAGGTTAAACGCATGCATTAGCACAGGACATCGGAGTTTTTTTTTTTTAAAAAAAAAAAATAATTAAAAATATTAGTGTGTTAAAGATGTTAATGTACAGGGAGGCCATGGGAAACAAATCACGGCCGCCTGCCTCAAAAGAGCAGCACGTGGCCGTTGCGCGTGTAATGGGGACATCGGAGTTATTACTTGTTACATCGCTGTTTTCAATGGACGAGAAATTTCAAGGGAGACAGCCAATGTAGGGTTAGTTATCGTATCTTTGGTCGGTGATGTCGTTGATAAAGTTGAGGAGGTGGGGCCCATAGTGCCATCACTTGTTTGGTGCTCGTACAAAAAGACGGCGGACCGGCTAGTATTGAGATAAGTTGGACAATGAAAGCGTAAAAATGTCCCAAGATCAATTTGGAATTAGGGGTGGGTTAAAAAATTTAGTAATTGAAAAAAATATTTTTTTTGACAAAATTGAAATTGATGGGTAGAATTTAATTTTATTTTGGGTTTATTTGGTTAAAAATCAAATTGAATTAATTTTAAATAGTTTGAGTTGAATATAATTGAAAATTTTAGACTAAAAACATTTTCTATGGATTAAAATTTTTTTTTTGGTTTTTTAGTCACTTTTTACTACATTATTTATTTATTTAGATAATTTTTAATTTTTTAGTGATTGAAATTAATAAAATAATAATTAAAGAATTTAAAGAATCACTAAAAATATAAAAATAAGTTTTTAGTTAAAACCAAAATTGATCCAAATAATTACTCTTGATCAGAAGTATAACTAAAATCGATAAAACCTATCTCTTTGGTTTTAATTAATAGTTATTAAAATTTAAAACTTGAAACTATAATTAATCGATAGTTCAATTTTAGTTACAATTAAAATGGAACTATGCCCACCCCTAATTGAAATAGTTTCCTTATAGGATTTTACAAAAAATCATTTATATCTTTAAGTCTAGTTTTGTATTTTATCTCATGCTTGTGTCGGTTAATTTAAAAGTTTGAATTTTTTTTTAAAAATAAAATAAATTCACTAATTTTACAAATAAAAAATCTTTCTCTTTGCTTCTAGTAAGGGTGGCAAAAAGCCAACCAACCCATTAAGCCGGTCCTAAACCAACTTGTGAAAACAGATTAGAGTTTAGATATCTTAAACTGCAACTTGTAAATAGCTTATAAAATCAACTTGCATGGGTCACAAGTTGAGTTCGAGTCAACCCACGGGTTGATGGATTGACTATTCACTTTATTTATTTATTATTATTTTTTAAAAAAACATTATATTTATTATTCTTAATTAATTTTCCTATTGATAACTCTCTCCATTGATTCAGACTCTTCAACTTTCTCTCCATTACTCACATTGCTTTGGACTTATTTTGAGTGTTTGCTCATCATTATTTATTCTTCCTTCATTAGAAATTACGTGGATTTGATCTAATTATCAAGTTTTATGACTTAAATGATAATGCAACAAAAATCTTTGAAGATGTGATGCTAGAATATAGATATAATGATATAGTAAAAGATGTTTTTGAAAGAGCAATTTCATCTTAAGGAAAAGCTTAAATTTCTCGATAAATTATGTTTTAAGATGATATTGTAAAATTCAAAGAAATTTTAACATTTTAAGCTTAATATTGTTAATTAACTTTGTTATATATAATTTTTTCATTTTTTCTTAATTTAAATGCTTTTAGTGGAAACTATAAAATACTTAGTATTAAAGAGTTATAGTACTTTAGAATTTTAAGTTTTAATTAGATTTAAATACTTATAATTTTATTTGAATGTAATAAAATTAAAAAAAAATTAAAAAATAAAAATAAAATAAACCAACAAGTTCATCTATAATTTACTAAAGTCTGATTACGATTAATTATTACCAACTCACCACTTATTTACGACTTAACTCATATAACCCATCATCAAATTAACCTAATCTGAATTCGACCCAACTTGCCCACTTGGAAGGCCTAAGTGCTAGAAATTCGTTAATAGTGACAAGGCTTACGGAAGGGACAATGTAACTCCCAGTCAACTGCATGTGAGAAAATGGCGAACACCTGACCCTACGCTTTCTAACTTTTCCATGCTACACAAACCATCACCA